TTTTACATGAGTTAGTTAATACATACAATAATTTTTTTCACTTTATATATATATATATATATATAAGAGAGAGAGAGAGAGAGAGAGAGAGAGAGAGAGAGTATATATATAATTATATTAATTTTATTGTGATTTAACCCATTTGTTTTAAGTTGTTATTATTTTAAATCTATAACTTTAATTTGCCATTTTTTTCAAATTCTTATCCGATTAATTTAAAATTACATATAATGATACTTTCCATTTATTTTAATATTATTCATTCTTTTCTCATCCAATTAATTTAAAATTATATGGTCCTTTTTAATATTATTCATTCTTTTCTCATCCAATTAATTTAAAATTATATGGTCCTTTTTTTTATACAATATATTTTTTTTTAATCTCAAACTCTAATGGTATTGTAATGTGATCCCATTTTGTTTTAGTGTTTTTTGTTGATTATTTTTATTATTTAAAAGTTACTACTTTAATTTGTCATTTTTTAAAAATTCTCATCCATTTAATTTCAAATTATATTAAAAAATTTTAAAATTTTTTTTATCTTTGATTTTATATATTTTTATACATTCACATCATAAAACACACTATCAAATTAAAATGATTTTTCTAAATAATTTTATATATTTTATTCTACCCGCAGCGTAACGTGAGTAAAAAACCTAGTGAATTCTATAATTTAACCAAGGATCCAAGAGAAATGGACTAATGCACAATGTGTGCAAATGAAACACAATTGTACTTCAAACCAGCTATAATGAATCAGTAAAATATCGGCTCTAAAAGTTAAAAGTTTAATTTGAAATTGAATCAAGGTGACTGCATGCATCAAAATAACAGACAGTGAGTACCTCAAGAGTAGAGAGTGGAAGAGAAGCAGGGAGACTTTTTAGACTAATGGGAGGAAATACCAGTTTGCGAATCTAATTGAATCAACTCACCTCTATTCCATGTTCATGTCATCATTACGATGTCGTTTAGAAGGGCAGGAAATGGACCTGTTTTTTGTTTTATAATAATAGTAGGAAATAAAACACCCATTAAAACTTTATTATTTATTATTGTTAGACGTCGTTTTTGACGTCAACACAGTCAATGGGAGGCGGTCAAAGGAATAACCAACGCGAGATGAAATTAAATAAAAGAAAAAAAAGGAGTGGTCGCTTGATATAAATCCATATTAAGACGAAAGCATTCATCGCTCGCTCCAATTTCTCCATTGCTGTACACGCGACTGGACTAGAGTTTCATTGACCAAACATCAGGTGCGCGCGCGCTCTCTCTCTCTCAGCAGGTAGCCAGATCTCTTTAATTTTTTCTTATGCGTTTGTTTCTGTTTGATTATGCTGTGATCGTATATTATCTTTTCTTTTAATTCGAAAATTCTATATGAATCCTACAATCTGAAATGATAAGTTTGCTACTTTGATAGAAAATTATTGCTTTTGTTCTTGATGACTTTTGATATTTTTTTCCTTCTTTATCTAATTTTCCGAGTGCTTTGTGGAATCTGCTTGCTTGGTGTTAATTTTCAATGAAAATGAATGAACTGCCGTTGGTAGAGTTTAGAGTAATTCGACAGCAAAATTTAGAATAAAACGGTCTTAATTCGACTAGCTTGTGAAAAATGGGGTGTTAGATGTTACTACTTGTGACCTGATTGGAGGAATATCAACCAAGGAGGGATAGAGTTATTGCAGAGGTTTATTGGTAAGATCTTTTGATGCATTTTCCACTCAAGGATGTAATTGCCTGCATGATGATAGTTTGCGGTTGTTCTGGGGGCAGATTTACTGCATAGGACTTTGTTTGAACAAGTTCAATGTGTTTAGATTTTCAGGGCAGTTTTTCTTGTTCCCTAGGTGTTGAAGAACTAACTTTTATTGGCAAGAACAAGTTCAATTTGTTTATATTGGTTTTTTTTTTTTTTTTTAACTATTGTGTAATATGCTTGTCGTGTACCAGTTGGTATGTTGAGTTTCTTTCAAATAAAAAGATTTTTGGATACTGCTGCTTAAAAACATTCATTCAGCTTAGGTTTCTGTTGGATGGGTTTTTAATAGTTTTGTTCTTGTATCTAGCTGCTGCATCTTGTACCCAAATACTCAAGGAAGCTCATAGGTTAAGGAGTTTGAGAGACCCGTGCAACTAGCTGTGTAATCTATTTACTCTAATATGCATGCTTGATATAGATATTTTTACTAAACTTTCTTTTAGCATAACATAATATTGCTGTTTTGGATTAACTAAGTTATCTTTAATTTTCACATGTTACAAAGAGCTTGATACAACCACAGAATGAACAAACTGTCTAATGCTAGTCTGCAAGCACCAGTTATTTTAAGCATTGCGGACACTACCCTTTTTTATTTAAGTTTACTCATCTATTTGAATCAGTTGTGAGCCCCAAGAATTTAGATTGATTGAACTGGATAGTCTTCATTTACTAAACTCGTATTGCTTCTATGGATCAGCTCTTTGTCCTGCCATCTGCTTTGCTGACGACGATACGGATAATAACTGATAAAAAAGGCTGCAGTTGAGGAGTACGATAGAGAGATGGCCAGGAGTGGTATCAAGCAATTTAGGACAAGTGGGAGCACAAGGAATGAGCCAATACTGACTCGAGTGATGAATAATGTCTTTGCCTTTGTACGCTTTGCGGAATTTGAGATCTTCTTCGTTTTGTTCTTTCTCATTGCTTTTTTCTTCTTCAAAAATCTCACCTCCAGGCCTGAGTACAATCAACTCCTTGTAAGGAAGCCTGGTGGTGCTGACTTTTGGCCTTACTAGGAAGGCATAGGAAGAGTGGCTTATGGTAGCCGCCCCACCCCCTCTTACTTTGCACTCCCCTGAGGATTTCTGCTTATAGATTTTTCTCTGTTGCTACCATATGTTATGTTGTATGATAATTTTGTAACATTGCTTATGAAGAAAAATAGTTTTATTTCTTGAAACTGGCTGTTGTGTTGGGAAGGAAATTGTTTGAGCGTAGAAAGAAATTATTGTATTTCAAGAAACTTGGTTACTCGTTCCTGGATTTATACACGAATGCCAAATTTAAGTGCGTGTGCAGTTTTTGTTGAAGCTATCAGCTATATATAGAGATGGCATGTACTTTGTATCATTGTGAAAAAAAATTAGATCTGAAAACGATTCAATTTCTGGCGCTTATTGAGATGAAAGAACCAATCTCAAGGCGTGAATGTGTACATGACAAGTAGAGGATGGTATTTGAATTTGTAGTGTGTCAAGTAACTGAAAGAGTTGGGATGGTAATTTGCCTAACAGATTTCTTCTCATTTATTTGGGCCTAATCATCTACTTGAATCTTGGGTAGACTCTGAGCCTGAAGGAGATAGGATGTCTAGTGATACCACTAGCTTGTACATTGACATCAAACCTGTAGGCATGCTTCAGCAATTTTCTATAACATTATAAATTTATACATGCCAAGCAGTTGCACGAGACTGCTTCCCTACAGCAATTTGAAATCCCTTCTTTGTAACGTGATTTTTTGGAAATCCTTTATTTGTAACGTGATTTTTTGGAAAAAGGTTCGACCCATGTCCATGTGAAGCACAAGTTAAAAAAAAAAAAAGGTTCTCTGGTATGCTAGCCTAATTGTGTTCTTTGGAGAAAAACATGTCTACAACATCATATGTTGCTTTATTGTGTCATTATCGATTTCAATTCATCGCGCATGTACATTATAACCTTCTCTGCCGGAGATGAGCTACGGCTGGCTACAATATTTCCGAAATGGGACATGATCGTAACCTTTCGCATTTAATCTGCCTGGCATTTTAGGACCAAAGTTGCCATCAAAACTGGATTCCATGTTTCAGCTGAGAAGGACAAAGCATCTTTTTTTGGAGAGGACAAAGCATCTTTGATTGGTAAGCTCGGCAACAGGTTTTGTAATTTTCTAATTCATTCGTTAGAAAATACAAAACCCCTTTGGAGACCATGTGATCAGGACAAAAGTAAGAACCCATCCTCATTAGCCATTGACATGTACGTCATTTGACGTATGCATTATCCATTTCAATGATCTTAGTTTAGATTCATCTTATCATCATTTGTTTAGCAGAAACTTCTCCCCCCACTTTCGAATTCCAACAGTCACAAGCATGTGATGCAGACCCGCATGCCTAACATTGAAACAGAAAAGGTACCAACATCCATTTGACTCCCCTTTGTGAGATCCCCTTGGATTCCAAACACATACCCCAAAAGACGTGTTCATGCAAAAGACGGGATTTGAATAAGAAAAAGAAATGCCGACTGAAAGCGAAAGATGAAACGTAAAAGAGATCATTATCTGTAAACAGAAAAAGAAAGGAGATGGAGACACCATCTTCATTTCCCCCAACTAATGTTCTGATGCTATTATGAAAAGATAATCAATCATGAATAATTAACAAACAAAAAAATTTCAAGTTAATGACTGAGCTATCCTTAGCCCAACTTTCTTGTTGACCAATATGGGTTCAAAGATATAAAACCAATCTTTAAACCCCGATTACTGCCGAATATAAACAAGAGTATGTCATCGGATGCTCTCTGAGCCCAAGACATAATAATCTGCTGATTAGTATCTGAGGTGGAATCCAAAGCCAATATTGGATTCCACCTTGTGCTAATACATGAAATGAACATGATTTCTCCTAATTAATATTGCTAACAACTACTTGAGACTCTCTAGTGTCCTAGACCGAACATGTATAATGATGAGGTTGATAAGTTGGGGGCTTGAATAATTGAAGAGAGTTAGTGGAGGGAGCTTTTGTATCTCAAATGCCCGTTTCCATGAAATGAAAAATCTGATGCTGAATTCTTGGATTCTTCTGTTGTTATGCTAGCTGATGATCAGGCACAATCCTCCTTTTGAATCAGTGACTTGAAAGAATGTTTTCCTTATTCTTTTTTCCCATCATTTTTTCTTGGTCCGCGGATTTTGTCAGTCTTGTGAGAAGACAATGAATTATGTTCCAAGCTTATTTGGTTGATGAATTTTGTTCAGTAGCTGTTCCAGAGGCTTGCAAAGCACCTGCTCTTTCTCCCACCACCCCTGTAGTTGCTGTTGGTGGTGGTGTTGCTGCTGCTGCTGCTGTTGTCGTCGTTGTCATAGTCATTGTGGCTGCACCTGTTGCAGTTATATTCAGATTATCCTGTCACTGGCCTTTTGTTAACTAGCATAAAATGGATAAATTTGCAGCAAGAGCGAAGTTGGGAAGTTTATTAGAATGATCACCTGCAGTAGTAGTCGCCATTGCAATAGAAGAAGGAAGTGATAAGATTCCTGTAGAGCCATATGGCTGAGGTAAATAAGGGTATTGTACCATTTGGGGATATTGAATTCCAAAACCATGTGCTTGGCTACTCTGTGCATACTGAGTATAGAATGGGTAGAAACTGTGTGGGTACATCCCTGGTGTTCCTGATGCCCCACCAGTAGTATAGTAAGATGAAATTTGTTGACCCCCATAAACACCATAATAGCTCTGCAAACAATGCCATCAAACTGTGGTCAAACAATGCAGATGAAATTAGTAGTATAGGACATACGTTAGTTATGCAATGCAAGTATATCATGCCAGTACTGACCAAGGGATACATGGCATCCGGTGAATATCCAGTGTACCTATGAATGACAGAAGAAGGAAAAAGGAGAATATTATAAGAATGAATAAAGAATTGAATGGATATTAAAAGGGGAGGGAAATTGAAGAAAACATTCCCTTGTGATTTATCTCTGTTAATGTTTACTTACCCATAAGCTGAATAAGGAAATGAGTATTGACCAGCGGGTTGATGGATGTATGGGGCTGAGGAACCAGGAAAAGTAGGTGGAGCCACTAATCCATGAACTGGTCTAAACCGTCCTATGCCTGCGATTTCATTTTTGTGTTAAAATAAATACTTCAATTCTCTTGTTCAGTGAATATAGATCAACATTTCAGTTTGCTAGCAGACGAATAGAGTAATTATAAGCTTGTCATAGCTAGCTTGGCACAGTGGTTAAAGACATCAACATGAAGTGGGTTCAAAAATTGGAAGCTTTACATGTTTTTAGAACGAAAGACAGAAGGGAATTTGCCACATTTTCTGCGCTGTTTCATGGCACAATGTTGGTTGAATATTCAAGGGATTATTAACTTTTGCATAGAAAGTAGATATATATTGAGATTAGCAAAGTATTCTAACAAATGCTTGGCAAGAAATGGAAAAGAGGTGACAAAGAAGAGAGAAATGGACCGTGTTGAGGAGTTGGTGGACGATTCTTTTGTGCACCAAGTGATGCAAGATTGCAGTTTGCCCTCCTTCCATCAATCACTGGAGATGGGTTTTGACAAGCTCTCATGGCTGCTTCTGGATCCTTAAATGTAACCTATAAGAAACAAGAACAAAGACCCATTTTTTACCATCATAAAAATATCATGTAGTGAGAGGAAAACAAGGAAAATATGCCCCTCTTGCAAATGGGAAAAAAAAGATCAATGGACTTACAAAGCCATAGCCCTTGGATCTCCCTGTGTTCTTATCTGTGATAACAACAGCCTCCAGGATCTCTCCAAACTGTTCAAAATAACGCCTCATGGTATCTCTTTGTGTCTCCCAAGCCAAACCACCAACAAAGATTTTGGTAAAAGTTGTGTCATTGTACTGCCCCGAATTGCCACCGCCTACCATCTGAAATTGCCTATGCTGAGCCATGATGATATACAATATCGTACACAAAAGAACCAATACAAAGAAAAGGACCCAAATAAAACAAGAAAAGAGAGAATGCTAACAAAAGAACCACCCTTCAGCAGAACAAACATCAACAACCCCAAAAAAGACCAAATATAGAGAGAAATAGGAAAAGATGGTAAGTAAAGCCAGAAAGAGCCGTTTGTTTTGATGATGATCACATCAATCAACAAAACAAGCACTCTTTCTTTTCTACGCACACAAAACACTCGTGTGCCTATCTATGTTTCGGTCTGTTTTTCTTCTTCTTGTTCTTGTTCTTCTAGTTGTTGTTTTTCTAATGCTTTAACTGCCACTTTTTCACAACCACAACTCCTCAGATTCCTCAACAACGATACCCGTAACGAGAAAATCATTACTGTTAAAGGGGGAGAGAGAGAATAATAAGAAAGGAGAAAAGAAAAGAAACCCTTTCAAGAAATATTTACTATATTTATATACACAAAATAATATATAGCATAGCACAAGAGAAGGGGAGATGATAAAATTAAGAAGAAGAAGGGAAAAGGAGAAGACAAAAAAGCTGCTAGTGGACACCCACGACAATAGCAGGCAAGGTTGTCCAATGAAATCACAAGGACCAAAGACCAACTTTTTTTTTTTTTGCTGAATCAGCCACCCTCTCTCTCTAGCGTTATGGGCAAACTACAAATCAGTCCCACTCTACACAGATATTAACAAATCAGCCCTCAACCTTCACAATTTGCTGATCTTTTCCAAAAGTTGCTTCATCGTAACGCATATTCACCTTAGCGTTGTTTCATGAGAAAAAGAAGACAGGAAGAGATGACATGAAAAGTATAAGAGATTAGGTTGGTGGGATCAACAAGTAACTTCAACATCAATAACGCGATTAGATGTCTTATAATTTTGTTGCAGTCAATTATTGTTGTTTTTACTTGTGAAATAGTATTGCTCTGAAAAAAAAAAAATATATATATATATATATATATAGAACTATGTGTGTTGGCGCGTGTAATCACTTAGCTTATTAACAAGGTTTTGTGAGCACAATTACCTTTTCTGGGAGAAAGAAGGAGGTGTTATTCACACTTTGTAAAGACTATTATAACTTTATTCTATGTATTTCTTACATTTAATTAAACTTCAAATTTTTTTTGAAAAAACTCTTCTTTATATTTCATAAAAAGAAAGGAAGAATATAATAGTGGCAACAAAAGACCACAATGTACCTAACTATTTATATTTGAAAATACTTATTTGATAGACTGTTAATTTCTTACTTTTCAATTGTTATATATGTTTTTGTTTGATTGAAAATCAAATCAAAGATATAGATTTTAATGAATTGCTAATTTACAAATCTGGTGTTACAAAAGTAGATAATCTTGCGTCTTTTTATTACTAGGATTTCAAAAAACAATATTTTTTTTTTAGATATAGTAATGTATCCCTTTCATTTATTCAAATAACTCATTGGATTTTTTTTTCAATCACCTCAGACTTATTTTTAATGACCACGAATGGATTATATGTATATATATTGCAACACTCAATTTTCTAAGGAAAAAAGAAAGAATCATCATTTAAAAAGGAAACAAATATTTTTAAAAGGAAAAGAATATTAAGTATGATGATGTATAGCATATAACAACAGCTACTCAAAATTTGATGTGGCATAGTACTACAGTTTAGCCTTATAATCGGATAAGGAAACAAAGATAAGTGTGGGTGATCTTATCTAAATTTAATCTCACCGTAAACTATGCAAGTCAGGCAAGAGATTTGTCTTTATCTCATGTCATTCCATTTTTTTTATTTTTTATTTTTAAAGTAAACATCAATTCACATCGCTTGCGGCGAGAATGATGTTCTTGAATTAGTACATTACAATAAATATATAAATATACGCAAATCGGAAGATGTATATATAGATCTGGGTTTTTTTTTTCAACAATGCCCTTTTCGAAGATAGCATGTTTAATTATCATTTGGTTATAAAAAATAAAAAATAAAAAAATAAGAATTTAAGAATTAGAATGAAAATTAGGTAATTAAAATGATATTTGCATTCTTATACTATATTTGAAATAATTTAAAAAAATTAAAATTTTTTAATATTTTGTTTTTAAGATGAATAAGAATAATGATTAAAAAATAAATTCATTAATTATAATAATAAAAATAATAAAAGTGATTGTGGTAACAACGATGATAACGACGATAGAATAAGGGAGGAGAAAGAAGTGACAGTAATAGTAATAATAATATAGTTGTAATAATAATAATATATTTTATAAAAGTTGATACAACCACCATAAAAGGTACAGTAAAAAAAAAATGATGATAGTAGTATAATAAAAATAATGATAGTTTTTGAAGAATAGTAATGACTGAATAATAATAATAATAATTTTTTTATCACCACCAATAGAGTAGTTGTGAGGTCATAAAAATGATAATAATATCTTCTTTTTTTTAATTTTTTTTATCACCACCAATAATAGAGGTGGTGTTAAAAATTGTTGATACACAATAAAAAAATAAGATATATTATTATTTAAAAAAATTAATTTTCATTTCTTGGTTTTATTTCTATCTCTTTTCTTGAAATGAAATTATGTTTTAATTTTTATTTTTATTCTCGTTCTTCATTTTAGTTTTTATTTTATTCGTTTCAACCAAATATCTATCTACATTTCATATTATGTGTTTTGTTCTAATTTTGAACCATCAAATTTAACTTTCTATCAAAATATTTATAAATGCACATTTAACAAGAGATATCAGCAAAGTGTTGTTTTAATTAAAAACTTCGAATGAAAATAACTTATGATCTATTTGTTATTATTTATTTTTAATTAAACCAAATCAAAATTCGTGTTACAAGTTTCCAAATAAGATCCATATTGAGTTTTTTTTTTATTAAATGTGTAGCACAGAAAAAAGAAGAAGGGAGATTGATCAAATACCGAGTTAATTATTTCAAGGCATTTTAAGTTTCTTAAAAGTGCACTGTAATATAAAACCTAAATTGCATTTTACATACACCTTTGATGTCTCTTAATTAAGTCTTTATATATATAATAGCCACCTGATAGACATAAAAGAAAACCTTTGAAGCTATAACGTTGATTCGCTCTGGACGAATAAAATGCCTTTCTCAAACTGAGTTTCCAGTTCCATGGTCGTAATAGCCTCATAATCTCCAGTAACCACTGTAATAGCCCTGACCATCGTCTTAGCTCCTACCTTCAGCTTCTTCCTCCAGCAGTTATCTCTTTTCAATTAGCCTCACGATGATGGTATCTACTGCTAATAAGAAACTTCATACTTTTTACTAACATCTATAATTACAGAGAAAATCCGGAGCGAATGATGTTATCAGGGGACAACATGTGTTTGTTATGCCTAATTTGGAATCCTTTAATGGAAATATAATGTGGGGTGAATGGAGAAGGGTTGAGCAACTTTGGGGATAAACAAGAAAAATTTGGAAGGTTTGGGACTGATTTATTATTATCTATACATCGGGGACTGGTTTGCAGTTATTTCTAACAATACCATACATATCGATATCCTACACACATTTGTCGGGTGGGTCAGCATAAACGTCTGCTTCGCTGTACTCAACCTTCCATTTCCTCTGCCTCTTAATATTGCATGTTCTGTTTATGGCAGGTGTGGGTCTTCGAGACATGATGCCTTGACCTCCCAACTTGTTTAATTGGTTCCGTTCCACACCCTCTCTGTAGCCTGCAGCTATTCTCTTAACCGAAAAAGTGGATAATGGGGTTCTGTTTTGCGGGCCAGGACTTTCTGGCACAACCTTCTAAATTCTTGTAAAAAAATTAGTGATTGCCGCATTAGGACACTAATTACCAAATTAATTAATAGGTGCACCTCTTGTCTTTTTCTAAACAGGCCTCCTCTTTTCTTTTGAATATTTTCATAAATAAAAATTAATTTTTTAATAATTATAATAATAATAAAATTCTGCGGGGAGTGATGCGTGCATCTGCGTAAAAAACAGGAATGTACTTACGCACATGGATGCTACATGAATAGATAGGCTGATGAATGGATGTTTTCTATATTTAGGCTCGATAATTTTTTGATTTTTTTAAATTGAAATCTTCAATTTTTATTTCATTAATTTTTTTTATTTTTTGTTTTAAATTCTCCGTTACGTGTAATTGTGGTTTCCAAAAAACAGTTTTTCATCTGAATAAAAAAAAATAAAATAATACATAAATTAAACAATAAAACGAAAAGACCAGATCGCCCCACCAAAAACACCAGCAAAAGCCCTCCATCTCCCGCAACTTGCATTATCTACCAAAAAAAAAAGGGCAAAAAAATTCAGCTTCCAGCCTCCCAAATGCAAGAAATAAGGAAAAAAAAAAACCTTTTTGTGAGAAATTGAGAGATGGTCATCAAAAAATATTTATAAAAAATAGTGAAATCCAAGAAAGCAGAAGCCAGCAATTATAACAGAGAAAGTCCAGTTGTATTAGAGAGGAAAAGATTGAAAAAGCTTGCAATAACCAACAACAACGTAGTATCAGACACACAAGTCTAGACTCCATATTCATTGAGTCCATAAAAAACTGTTACAGATCATCATGGTAAAGATATTATTAGAAAATTTCAAAGAAAAACAGGTTTTTCTTTGAAATTTCCTAGTCTTCTTGCTCCAATTAATGGTGGTGGCACTATTGACGTGCTCAAAAACTTGTCCTCTGAAAACTCTGTCCTTTACCTTGATTTTCCTCGTATTTTGACTCAACATTTTTAGTTTTTTTTTTGTTTTTGGATTTTGATTTTTTGGTCGTTGTGTTTCTGGATTTTGATTTGTGATGGGCATGTCGTTTTTGTTTTTGTTTTATAAGGAGCGACATATTTGATCTTTTTCTCTTTTTTTTTTTTTAAATTTATGCGTTATTTTATTATTAAATTATTTTTAAATCTTTTTTCATATGGATCGAAAAACTGTTTTT